TGTCCCCCTGGGGAGCATGTTGTGGGGGTTAAGGGTCTTTGCTCAGGGACCCAGAGTGGCAGTCTGTGGGAGTGGGGCTAAAACTCAGACCCTCAGGCTTCCAAGCTCTGTGCCCTAACCAGTAGTCTTCCCTTAGCTCTCTACTGCACAGATATTTTTATACCTAAAGGAAACATATTCCAGGACATTACAACTTATGTTTTTTGTACTATATACGCTCTTTTTATACTGTTTGTTGTATTTTTAACTTTAGTGGCATCTTGCTTTAACTGTTTTTACTCTAAATAAGCAACTGGAACCAGAATTTCCCAGAAGGAGTAATCCCAAAGGGAGAAATAAAGTTGAGTCTAAGTCTTCAGTTGGTTGTTCCCATTTAAAATTGGTGCAAAGGGGCCAAAAATATGCCATGAATATACCCCCCATACTAATGCACCACTACTGGTCTGAACTGCTGATTGGTAAAAGTGTGTAAAGTGAAATCTAACGTCTCCGTTCGAGCTTCGCAGCAGACTCCTGCCCTGCGGTGGTCAGCACTCATTGCTTTCCACGCTTTGCTGATTCAGTGTTGGGGATGGACACCACGTCACATAAGCCACTTTGCTGCTGGAACATGCTGTCGTTCCTTCTGCTGGGCCTCTGGGTCCTCCTTACATTCCTCCTTTGCTTTCTGCTTCTTCCTTCTACAGTCCTGCATATTTAAAGTGTAACTTACCCCCAAATCCACCTTTTTGCATAAAAACAAGGCCTATGGGGGATATTTCAAGGTTACCCCCTTTTTTTTCTATTTTAATGTTTGATTTTGCAGATAATAATAATAATAATAATAATAATAATGTGGACTTGGAATGCACTTTATATTTAAACAAATCCCAAAGTGCTACATAGTAAAACAGGTAAGTGCTAAATAAAAAGCCTTACATGGATAGCATGAGAAATAAAAGTAAAAAAAAAGATAAAATAATCAAAGACAATATAAAAAAAAGGGAAGAGTTCAATTAAAAGCTCTCCTAGAAAAGTGGGTTTAAAGGCCACATTTAGAAGCATCCACAGTCTGCAGCATTTGTCTCAAACTGGTCTTAAATCCTTCTCAGAGTGGCTAAATGGTGGCTGTTGCAGTACAATTATCCTCAGGAATGAAGTGAAGACAAAGACCAAGAGGAATTATTTCACTATAAAATGCAAAATAACCGGAACAACAGTTATTTCCTCTATTAAAACTACTTTCTTTCATTTAGGGCTACAACTAACGATTATTTAAAAAATCGATGAATTGGCCGATTATTTTTTCGATTAATCGATGAAT